GGGAGGCAGAGCCAGGCCGATCTCTGTGAGTTCGAGGCCAGCCTGGTCTACCAAGTGAGTTCCAGGAAAGGCACAAAGCTACACAGAGAAACCCTGTCTGGAAAACCAAAAAAAAAAAAAAAAAAAAAAAGGAAAGAAAAATTAACACTCCTTAATTAAAATTTTTTTAGATTTATTTATTTATTTGGTTTTTCGAGACAGAGTTTCTCCGTGTATTTTTGGTGTCTGTCCTGGATCTCGCTCTGTAGACCAGGCTGGTCTCGAACTCACACAGATCCGCCTGGCTCTGCTTCCTCCCGAATGCTGGGATTAAAGGTGTGCACCACCACCGCCCAGCTATTTTTACTTTTTTTAAATTAGGTGTAGGACAGTATGTGGGCACGTGAATATGTGCATGTGAGTATAGATGCCCACAGAGGTCAGAGGCTCCAAGGCCCTGGAGCTGAAATTACAGATGGTTGTGAACCTTGATGTGGGTGCTGGGAACTGAACTCAGGTCCTTTGTGAGAGCAGCGAGCGCACTTACCCATGGAGCTGCCCCCCACCCCTCCACCCCCACCCCCAGCAGGTTTGCATTCATTTGCTCAATTCCTTCCCCTTTCAGGTGCACAAAGCGGCTGAACAATTTGTTTCCCCCGAGAGACTGCACTGAGGGGAATGAGATAGACCAAAGGGTCCCTGACCTGGTTCTCCCATTGGAAAAACCTTGGCACCTGACCAGAGACCTAAATGGTCCCAGCACAGCGGTGGCCCTGGCATATGGCTCCTGAACTTCTGCCTTGATTCAGAGGAGTTGCACCAGGTTTCTGTTACACAACCCAAAGAACAAGATGTTCACATATGGCTGAACCATCACTAGGGCCAAACTCACGCAAGGCTGTCTCACCTGGTGACCTGGAAGGCGGGGACTGGGGGCTAGCTATGTTTTTGCTTCCCAGTCAGAGCTCTATCTAGCTTTGTCCTCAACCTACTTGTACTGTGAAACGTTAACCAGTTGGTCAAGTTCTCCCGAGGAAGAGAAAAGACAGAAGAGTTCTACGTCAGGTCAACACCCGTGTGCATTAACAGATTACCAAGAAATCTGTGAGTCCTTGTCATGAGGTAGACAGTGACTCGGGGACAGTGCAGTGGAGAAGTAGGTCATTAAGCAGGGCCAGGTTGGAGTTTTGAATAGACAACCACATTTGGTGGGGGGGGGAGGGGGGACGGCTTTTGAAATGAGGTCTCACTATGTACTTCAGGGTGACCAGGAACCCCTGAGCCTCTCTTACCAGGCTCGTGTGTGCGTCACCACACCTGACTCTCTATCCACAGCTTTCTTACCTTGGCGTCTACCCCGCCAGATTCTATCCCTCCCACAGGAGACTCTGAACCTCCCAGTGGAGATGAGTCTATCTCCTACTACTGAGCAAGAGGCCATTGCTATTACCCATGAGGCCTCTGGAAGCTGCTCACAGAGCCCAGGGTCTGCCTGAACATTTCCCTCCCATCTCCACTGAGTGCCATTTATTTTCTGAGTCAAAAGCATAACAGGATGAAGTCAGAGACACAAAAGAACAGGGCCATGCTTTCAAATGCCCGGTCTAGCCACTAGCAGAAGGCAGAACATCATTGCCCTTGTTACCAGGGTCCTAGGTCTCTTCATTGGAAAGAGATGCTTGTCTCCCCAAACACCCCCCCCTCTACACTCCAGTAACCTGACCCAGCTGAGGAGTTCAAAAGTCCCCATTGTCTTTTCCCATCTGACAAGATAAGGGCTGGCAATCACTGTGGCCCTCGATGCCTCTACCTGCCCTCAAGGAAGTCTTCTTGGCTACGAAAGGACAGTGGATCTTTTGTTCTTAGCCTACTATTTCCTAACCAAGAACTGGCTCATTGCTGGAGATAAGACTCATGGACTAACACACACACACACACACACACACACACACACACACACACACACACACACTATGGAAATCAAATTCTGCCATTTTGGTCAAGGGTGAGTGCCTTAATGTGTCAAATCATAAAATAATAGGCTCAGTTGATACAACAAATAATTAGACCTTGCAGATTCTCAGGGCTCACTCTATATAGCCTAGTCTATCTGTGAGCCCTAGGTTCCAAAGAGAGACCCTGTTTCAACCCCTACCTCTCTCTCTCTCAGATCAAGACTATCTTAGAAGACATGAAGGGGTTAAATGCACATTAAACTTGCTTAACAAACGCGTTGAGTACTGACCACTCCAACTCAACGATGAGTAGGGCCAGGCTGCTAAATGAACATGGCAGGGCGTTAAAGAACAGGGTGCAACTCCTGCTTACTTTGTCACATAGGAAGGACAGACGCTTCACATCCGGTCACTGGCACATTGCTGAAAGGGGGGTTTCTATTTCCACCCCTAACCCAATATCCTGACTCGTCAATGTTAAGACAGACTGCCTAAAGAAAACTCTTTAGTAGTTAGCAGAGCATAAGCCCTGGTTCAGTCTTCTTTCCTTGATGGCTCCCCGAAAGCAAAAGAGCAAGACCATGGAGAGACCTCAGAATTCTGCTTCTTCACCATGTCAACAGAGAAGACAGTTGCTCCCTAATTCCTTGGAAAATGGGTGCAGACAGTTCTATGAAATAGGAAGGAAGTAACTCATTGAAGGAAAAATAATAAGGAAACGGAGTTTAAGGAAGTAGGTTGGTTAGTGGAAATCAGACTTCATAGAATATTCTGGAAAACTGTCAAACATCAGCTCTCCCAGAAGAAGGGGTAACAGGGGCGCTTTGCTTCCTTCCTTGAGGGAAGTTATAGAAATATGTGGCACAAAGCAAGAAGCCATAGATAGACAGTCTACGTGGACTTTTCTCCAGTAAGATGACTAAACCCTCCCCACATACATACATCTACACGCCAGAGGAAAAAGACCAAAACCAAGATCAAAATCCCCACACTTTAACATCAAGGCCATGACTCCTTCGGACCTCATCTTAGTGACCTACATGTCTTACACAGGAGCCTGATTCCCATGATCCAATGCACCTGAATAAGACCAGTCTCGAGGGGAAATAAAATGCATGTTGTAAAATTTATTGCTTTACATATAACGACATGTCCACCAGATTTGGACCCCATATCAAGTGCCTACAAGAAAACTAAGTAACTCCTCCATAACTACTATGGAAGACTTCTATGCCCTCTCAGGCACCTGGGAGCTCGCCTGCTGCCTCTTTGTAGTGTATTTCAATCAATTCCCTCTGCCCTTTGCACCTTTGGTAAATTCTTTTACCGCCTGCACCACTGGCCTTGCCTCCCATTCCACATGGAAGTCTATGAAAAGCTTTCTCTGTATGCCTCCCACGGGATGAAGTTTATCCTGAAAGTGCTGGAGGAAAGGCCCTGGAACCAGGGCTTGGAGAGAAATACAGCTGTCTCTCAGTATCCTCAGGGGGTGGGTTCTAGGAGCCCCAGTATCTCCAAATCCACAGACGCTCACGCCCCTTATATAAGATGTAGAATTTGTAGAACCTACACCTATACCCAACACAATGTAAATAGCGGGGAAGGAAAAGACCAAGTCTGCACAGGTGCAACCGAAAAATACAGCTGTTTTCAAAAGCCAGAGATAGTGGTGCACACCTGCACCCTCAGGTGGCACACACCTGCACCCTCAGGAGGCACACACCTGCACCCTCAGGAGGCACACACCTGCACCCTCAGGAGACACACACCTGCACCCACAGGAGGCACACACCTGCACCCTCGGGTGGCACACACCTGCACCCTCAGGAGGCACACACCTGCACCCTCAGGAGGCACACACCTGCACCCTCAGGTGGCACACACCTGCACCCTCAGGTGGCACACACCTGCACCCTCAGGAGGCACACACCTGCACCCTCAGGTGGTACAGATCTGCAGCTGGTACAAAATGACTGCACTCTCACTACCTGAAGAGGCAGAAGCAGGCAGATCACAAGTTAGAGACCAGCCTGGGCTACCTAGGGAAATCTAGACTTAGTATCAAGGAAAACAACCAACCTACCCCCTCTCCAAACAAAATCAATCAATTGCCTATCCCCCCCCCCCCCCCCCGGCAGTTGGTAGAATCCTTGGAGGCAGATGCCATGGGTGTGGAGGCCAGCCACACTGTGGTATTATTAGTGACAGAAGCTATTCAGGGATCCTCCATAGCTGCTGTGTGTTTCACCGTTGTTCACAAAATGAGAAATGCATATGAGGGAAGTAAAGGGCGGAATTTTATCAGCCAAACACCGTGGGGGCAAGAATATGTGATAGCATTAAGGTAGGCCATGGTGAGGTCAAACGCTGAGAAGCAGAGAGAGGAGGCAATGATTGAGTAGTGTCCATCAGGCTTAGAGAGGCGTCTATGCGCTGTGGGGCAGCATCCAAGGGTAGCAGGGCCCAATGGCAAGTGTCAGCAAATTAGGTTTCCCATGGCCAAGCTCCACACATGGCTCTTTGTAGATAGCACACACAGTTTGGAATGTGTCTGCCCAGAAGTCTGAACACAGGCTGCCTGACCTGAGTCTGTTCTTAGTGACCTAACAGAATGCTTTGTATAAAGGGCATAGAACACAAGACCGAAGCCTTTGAACACTTTGCAACATTATTATAAAAGGAGGTCTGGTTCCCAAAACAGAAACCTGGAGATTTGCTTTGTAGCAAACTTGTTATCTTTCTAATATCACCAGGGACTCCCGTATAAATTCTAAACTGGAAGAGCAGCTGTACAAAACCAAGTTCCTTATAAAAGCAAAGACACTCGAATTCTTTCTTGAGTGACTGATATGGAGATGGAGCCCATGGTCTCGGACTTGCTAGGCACTCTCTGTACCACCCAGCAGCACCCAGCCACAGAAGCTCCAAATAATTACAAATGCTCATGGTGCCCTTTCAGGGTAAATATCAGCTTGGCAAGAACTTCAGAGTTTGGCCAAAGTAGATTTTGTCTGTAGGTGATAATAAACACCTACAAATATCCAGAGTTTTGCTAGAAGATTCCAGGCCTCTTTCCTTATTACCACCATCTCCAGTGGTTACAACCCGTCAACAAGCTGTTTAAGAATGTGCATTAGGGGCTGGAGAGATGACTTGGCAGTTAAGAGTGCATACTGCTCTTGAGATCAGGACTCCAGTTTGGTCCTTCTCAAGAAATTTAAAAAAAAAAATCGATAAAGAAGAATTAGTACTTTGTGTGAATGTGGTGTGTGGACACACACCTGTGGACACACACACAGGCTGAAGGGGGACATGGAGTGTCCTGTTTTACAGTCTCTCTGTTTTGTTCTTTTGAGACAAGGTCTTTGGCTGAGCCTAGAGCTAGGCTGGTGGCCAGCGAGCCCCAGCCATCCTCCTCTCTGTTTCCCACAGGGCTGGGGTTCCAGGTGCCTGTGGTCATGCCTGACTTTACATCAGGATGCTGGGACCTGAATCCAGGTCTTCAGGCTTATGAAGAAGCACTCCCTGCCCCCTCCCCCCAGCTCTTTCTCCTGCTTCATAATTGTTAGCAAGCATCCCTTCTCTTCCATCTCTGCCCAGGGCTTTCTCTAAGCCAGTCATGCACACCACCACACCCTCGGTACAATACCTAACTTTTTAAATAAGGTGTCTATTGATTAAGTTACCTCCCTGGGAGAATCCTGTTATGAACGAATGAACGACAGCCACTGTGCTGGGCTATTTAAACCTGCTGAAAGGAAGCAGAAACACAGCTTGACTGCAAAGAACACACAGTGGACCTTGCCTGTGGCTCTTTAGCCTGGACAGGATTTTTAAGGAAGGGTGGGGAAGGGGGAAGAATATTTTCCCTCCAGCAAGTATTCTAGGTTGTTTTCTTCCCGTTTGGGTTGGAATCACGTTGTGCCAAAGGGTCAGGGCAGGCGGGTCTGGAAGTAGGTTATTACTTTGAGAACTGAAGCAAGCTGGTCACTAACAAAAAGGTACAAGCTCCTGGGGCTTGCCAGGCTGGAATGGAGGGTGTCACAGATCATATATTCTCCAGTGTTTTGATCTTGGGAGTCACTTCCACCTCACACGTGACACCATGGAGACGCACCCAGATACATTTGGATTTCCTTGAACTGTTGCGTGGTTAGATGCAAGGGTAAGCTCGGCCTTCACGCCTCCCACTCTGAGGCCAACTGGCAACTGCTTACTGAACACTAACCTCCGTAAACCTCGGCCCTTGGGGAAAAAAAACACCACAGAGTCACTGCTCTTGTCCTTGAGATTAAAAGTGTTGGGGAGGCGGATGGCATGTCTAGCTGTGAAGGTGGTAAAGAGAAACCCCTGGATCAATGTGACAAGACAAGACGGATAGGGAAAACAAGGTCTCCCAGAACAAGCACAGATAGGGAGAGCCTATCTCTGAGCGAGGCAGGAATTAAGAGATCTGGCAAAGAGCTGTTCTCACGCTGTGAAGCTGACCCATGATCCTCTCCATTTAAACATCCATGTTCCTCCCACACATCTCCTGCGGCTGATAGCTAGAATGCAGTGTTATTTGGGAGCCTTTACAAGTCCCCTGATGCCCCTAAAGTTAAGGTGTTTTTTTTTTAATTTGTTTCAAGAGGAAGCAGCGGCTGTGCCTGAAGAGCAGCCTTTTCATTTTGGTAGCTGCTTTTCTCACCTTGTGAATTGACACACGGTTTCCCCTAGGACCCTGTCTCATAAGCTGCTGGACAGCACCTATGGTTGGTGACCCTATTCTTCCTCATCCACATTTCTCTGCAAGAGGTACACCGTGGGGCCTGCATTTATATGCACTTGGGTTTCTTCATCCTTTAGCAGTATTTTCACCTCCAAGATCTCACTGTTTACCCCGTTCTGTAAAGTCGCTGCCATGCAGCCGGTCTCGACTCTGAAAGCCAGTCGTCTGGACGGAAGAATCAGAGGCAGGAGGATTATGAGTTGAGACCAGCCTGAACGATATATCTAGGCCTTGGAGGGAGACTCTGAATGTCTGCCAGCCTTTCTTTCTCTGTCTATATGTCTCTAATTCCTTCTCTCTGGACTTATTCTCGATCTCTGAGTCTCTCATCCTCACTGTCTCTCACTCCCTGTCTCTGTGTCTCTCCGGGTCTCCGTCTCTTTCTTACACAGACATACACACACCCCTCTGCCTCCTAACGCCTGGGATAGTATCAAGAACTAGAATGTTCCATCAGCATATGGAGATAAACCGAAGGGGAGTGATGCCAGCGCCGTGAGCAAGGCCTAGATGTGGGGTTGGCTGGGAGCCAAAACTGCCCTCGCAAACCTGGGTGAGCCCAGCCTCCCCTGGGTAGGCAGAGCCCATGCTCACCCGAAGTACCTAAACCAGGACTCTCTCCCCTCAACCCCCAACTCGGTTCTCAGTCCCAGGACCCGGAGAAGCCCTGTCCCTCCAGCATAGACACATGCCAGGGTTTGTAACCATAGTCCGTAGGAGCTGCAAGAGATGCGGCCACCCCCGCGCGTCCACCCCTGCCCCTTGTCTCGCGGACTCCCCCGCACCTCGGGAGCGCCCCACCGGGCACCTGAGACCCTCTGCGGGAGGAACCTCGGGGCTGCTGGGGGGTGGGTGGGTGGACGCTGACTGGCGAGGGTGGGGACTAGGCCCGGGGGCTTGGACTTGCAGGGGGACCCCAACCGAGGGAGCGGAGGCAGGGAACGGATGGGGTGTGCGAGGGAGGAGGAGCTCGGATTCAAGAGAACGCACGGGGAGAGAGTGACTTGGGACGCAGGAGGACCCGGGGTGCAGAGGAAATGGAGAGGAGCGAGCGGGGTACCCCGGACGCAGGGGGTGGCGGGCTGCACTCGCCTGATGAGGGCTCCCGCGTAGTCCCTGGCGGTCTCCATTGGGGCGGGTCGTCCAGACGTCCCCAGGCCGTGCCCTCTTAAAGCTCTGCCCTGTCCGCCCCGCCCCGCGGCGACTTGACCCGACCCGGCCCGGACCTTGGCGACAGACAGCGCTTCTGCCAGCAGCAAACAGTTCTGGCTCCCACGCCTGGGTCCCGGGGCCACGCCCCTTCGTGGGCAAACGGTACCGAGGGCCCCGGAACCCCAGATTTGGGGGTGTTGGTGGCTATTGTCAGTTCGTTGGTCTTTCTCCTCTGGAGGCTGGGGTAACTGGTGACCTTACCACGGCCAGCGGCATCGCTTGACCGTGGAAAAGCAGGTGTGCTTGGGGGCGAGCGGAGTGCCCGAACCCACTGTCTTCAGGCTGGAGTCTCCAGAGCCCGACTCGGGGCTGGGCGGCTGGCCAGCGACTTCCCGGGGGACAGGGGGAAGTGGCCGGGGATACGCGGAAGCGCAGCACTTCGGGTTCTCGGAGGTGCCAGGGCTTCCGTGTGGGTTAAGATGACAATTAGGTAGAGGGAGAGGAGGAAGCATCCGGCTGCCACCATTCATTACTAGAGTTGTAGGTTGGCTTCTTGAGGGACCGGAAGGAAAGCTCAGAATTGATGGGGCCAGGAGAGGTTTCCGCTCGCAGTGAGCACAGGCTGCCCCACGCCCTCGAGGAGCCGAGTGGATGGGCATGCACCAGCGCTCCGCTGCGAAGACGACCTTCTTCGCAAGCTGTGAACTCTGGAACAGCGAGGTGCTGGAAGATCCTTTCCGCTCAGCATCGCTGGCCAGAAGCTTTTGGTACTGTGTTCCAGGCGTGATCTCTAGCCCTCTTCTTCAGGCTGCTCCGTCTTCGGGAGCCCTCGGTGTCAACAAACCTCACCTGACCCGCTGGAAAATAGAAGCCAAAAGCAATTTCCGGTGAACGCCCTGCAAGAGGCTCCCAGAGCAAGCAGCCTGTCCAGCCCGGAGCTATGGCGCTGGACAAAGCCACCTGAGGTCATTAGCGGATCCTCCCATTGATACTTCACCTAGAAGGTGAGACCATGGGACCAATCAATTCAAATCACCTTTACGAAAATGCCCTTCTGTAGAGAAAGTCTAATGTCCAGACACACAGGGTATCGGAGTGAACATCTGCTCAGCCAGGTTCAGATGTCTTTGCTTGTTTGTTTAAACACCTTCGATTGAAATACTTAGTCTCTCTCTGTCCCTCCCTCCCCACACCCTCTGTAGACCAGGCTAGCCTCTCGCTCACAGATAAAGATCTCCTGTCTCTACCTCTTGAGTGTTGTGCTTAAAGGTTTGTCACTGCCCCCAGCAAACTTGTATTTTATTTTATTTTATTTATTTATTTATTTATCATGTATACAGTATTCTGCCTGCATGTGTCCCTGCAGGCCAGAAGAGGGCACCAGATCTCATTACAAGTGGTTGTGAGCCACCATGTGGTTGCTGGGAATTGAACTCAGGACCTCTGTAAGAGCAGTCAGTGCTCTTAACTGCTGAGCCATCTCTCCAGCCCCCTATTTTATTTTTTTCAAGACAGGGTTTCTCTGTGTTACAGCTCTGGCTGTCCTGGAACTCACTCTGTAGACCAGGCTGGCCTTGAACTCGACGAGATCTGCCTGCCCCTGCCTCTCAAGTGCTGGGATTAAAGGCCTGTGCCACTACCACCCTGGCTAAATTTGCATTTCTTGAAAAAATAAAAAGTTCTCTCAGGGCTGGAGAGATGTAAGTTTGGATCCCAGTACTCACATAAAAACCTGGGGAGGAAGGGCCAGGCATAGTAGCACACGCCTTTCATCCCAACACTTGGAAGACAGAGGCAGGAGGATCTCTGTGAGTTCGAGGCTAACCAGGTCTACATAGTGAGTTCCAGGACAGCCGGGGCTGTGTAGAGAAACCCTGTCTCAAAAAAAACCCAACCAAACAAAACCACAAACAAACCACAAACTGGGGGAAGCCTGGAAGTCCAATGTTCTGGGTAAAGACAGGAGGCTGGTGTGGCTCGCTGGCCACCAACCTAGCTCCAGAAGTGTGATAGAGCAGGACACGTCCCTTCTGGGGTGCCCCTGCCTCCTCCCCACCTCCACTCTACACACACAGAACAATGTTTGCCTATCCGGCACGGACGGCACAGGAAATCCAGGAGAAACCTTCCGACTCCTGATAATATCAGTTGGGCACCCACAGAGAGCGGCACCAGGCTCCGGTGAACAGTTTCAATCTGATGGTCGCCACACAGATGGCCCTGGTTAAACTAAGTGGGCCACAGAACAAAACCAAGACGTGAATCTGGGGGGGGGGGAGCTGGGGTGGGGGAGGGGTTTGTGGTTGACAGGGTAAGTGGGAGACAGGAGAGGGCAGGGCATAGAGAGAAGCCAGAATGTGTGATGCCGTGTTTGGAGCTCTCAAATAAGAAAACTAATAAAGGGCCGGAGAGATGGCTCAGAGGTTAAGAACACTGACTGCTCTTCCAGAGGTCCTGAGTTCAATTCACAGCAACCACATGGTGGCTCACAACCATCTGTAATGACATCTGGCGCCCTCTTCTGGCCTGCAGACACACATGCATACATGTAGGCAGAACATTGTATGCATAATAAATAAAAATCTTTTTTAAAAAAAGAAAACTAATAAAAATATGAGAAATGTTCCCAAAGACCAGTGGGATCATTCCTAACAAAAATGATAGTCTGTAGTCTATGCCCTAACCATCCAAGCTAGTTGATTTGAATACATAGGGCACTAACCATGTACTTGGGGTGAGGGTCTACAATGGTCAAGGTCAAGGTCATGGGGCCTAGCAAGCTGCTTGACTCAGAAGTCATGTAGACTTGAACACACATGAACGAATGAGGAGCCATGTAATATCTGAATGCAGATTGAAAAAAGAACAAAGTGAGGAATTCAGTCCCAAGGGCATGTGCAATGATTTTATTAAAAAGGAGAAATGGGCACCTTTTGGGGGACCCTGCCAAGGTATGCCACTGAGGAAACATGCCATTTGCTACAGAGTTAGTGCAAGAGGTTTATTGGGGGGCTGGAGAGATGGCTCAGTGGTTAAGAAGAGCCGGAGGTGAGGAGGAGCTAGAGGTGGAGGAGGAGTTGGAGGTGGAGGAGGAGCTGGAGGTGGAGGAGGAGCTGGAGGTGGGGAGAAGCTGGAGGTGGGGAGAAGCTGGAGGTGGAGGAGCTGGAGGTGGA